CACACGCGCACGTGACGGTGCATCAATTGACATCGTTCCTTACGGCTCTCGTCATAACATCCAGTCAAAACCCGTGCCGGATGATCCTCATAGCAAAAGTAGCTACATATGTAGTAGCTACATGTGTAGTAGTAGCTACATATGTAGTAGCTACATATGTAGTAGTAGCTACATATGTAGTAGTAGCTACACGTGTAGTAGCTACTACTACATATGTAGTAGTAGCTACTACCTATGTAGTAGCTACCTATGTAGTAGCTACGGGCCCCGCACTTTCAAGGGCCCCGCGCTAAACGCTTTCAAGCTATCAATTCCGGTTCAGTGACTCTGCACTTGCTCTATTACTATAGTACGATACCGCCTTCAACTTTTATGAACGACTGGGTGTTTCAGGTTCGCGATTTGTCGTTACTATCTGGCTGTAGAGCAAATACAAAAATATAGTTCGGGTCAGCAGTTACACTGCTGGATTAGTTTTTTCCGCCCGAGGACGACCGCTTGTGTTGCGAACGAAACGTCGTAATTTTTTTTCTACCAACGTGACTTCAGCGAAAGAACCAAAGAGCATGGATTGCTGCAGTCACGAAAGCTTCAAACCAAGATTGAAAAAATACAATTACTTTACTATGCAAGTAAAAAAAAAATGTGTTTTAATATTGAACTTTTTTTTCATTTAGGGCCCCTTTATAACATCATGCCACAGGCCCCGGCACTAGCTTCATCCGGCACCGGTCACAACCCGTTTAAAATGTTCGATTTATGTCAGCGAACGCGCGTGCGTACAACGCCCGGCGGCTCTCTGCTCCGTGCAGTAAACCCACAGACGCCGAGGGCCCTCAGCCTCCAAGGCCGACGTGGCCGAAAATTCGCCTCCGCCGATCCTGCCCCAACAGATCTCGAGCGACCGCATTCACCGACAGTCAAGCGGCCCACGGGTGGACGGAGTCGGGGGGGGGGGGGCCTTCTCTTCTCGCGTCTTTGTTAAGTAACAGCGAGGGGTTTTGCGATAAACACCCTAAACGTGATATCACCCTAGGGTTCGGATGGGGGGGCTTTCGCATCCTAAAGCAGCAGACATTAAGAGGCGAGAGAGAGAATTACTTTGCGCGATAATGCCCTCCCCTCTCCCCGCGTCTAGGCTCACCTCTGCTGACCCTCTCCCACCGCTCGATTACCTCCTGCCAGCTCTGGGCCCAGACACTTTCTGTGTCCGCTTTATTTACTCATTTGTAACGGGGCAGCTTTACGAGCCCTGCCTCGGTCTGGGAGAGAGTTTAGTGTCTCAAGTGCTCCGGTTTACCACCACCACCAACCCAACCACCCCTCCATCATCATCGCCCCCCCCCAAGGACCGGCTTTTAAAAAAAGAGGTAATTTCACGCCACTCACTCTGTACGAGAGGGTGGGTGGGTGGGAGCGAGGGGGAGAGCAGCAAATTGGTCGCTAATGCGTCCTGGGGACACCTCCAAGCCCCCCCCCCCCCCCCCTTCGTAAGCGTCGCCCTCCCAGCAAGCGAGGTGGTGGTGGCGACTCCGCGCCTGATGGCTGAGTTATGGAAATGCGCCCGGCAGCAGCCTCGCAAATCGAAACCTCTCCACACTCCCGCCCCCCCCCCCCTGGCACGCGCGCACGCAAAAAAAGACAAAGATCCCCCGTATAGTCTGAACAGACCGTTGGGGGCAAGGGCTGTTGGTGAGTAGCACCGATTGAAGGCACGCACGGCACACGAGGGGGTGGGTGGCCAGCAACCACGCCCGCCCGCCTTTGTCTCCCCCAGTGGCAATGTTTACGCACCGCGCCAGGTACACATTTGAGGCTGAGTCGAACTAAGGGAGGCCCAGGACCGGTTCAGATAATCGCCAACGGTGTTGGCCGTGAGCTGGAACCGAACCCGGGACGCCGGGTTCATAGCGCAGCGCGCTAACCGCTACACTACTGCTCCACACAAAGACAAAGATCCCCATATAGCCTTAACAGACTGTAGGGGCAAGTGCTGTTAGCGAGCACCTATAAAGGCCGGAACGGTGCACGAGGGGGTGGGTGGCCAACACCACGCCCGACCGCCTTAGTCTCCCCAGTGGCAATGTTTTTATCCACCGCACAAGGTACTCATTTGAGGCTGAGTCGACCTAGGGGAGGCCCACGACCGGTTCAGATAATCATCACCGGTGTTGGCCGTGAGCGGAAATCGAACCCGGGTCGCCAGGTTCATAGCGCAGCGCGCTAACCGCTACACTACCGCTCCCCACTACACTACCGCTCCACACGCGCACACACACACACGACCACACACACGACCACACAACGATCTCAATTACAGCGCGTGAGTGAATCTCTTGCGCGTCGCTGAGATGCAGCAAAGTTGGTGAACTGGAGTCATGACCAGGTGGACACGGATTGGTGGGATAAATTATGAGAGACTCGGGTAGCTCAGGTTTTCGTGAGTTGTTGATGTCATTACTATTATTTTCAAATCGATCGAGTCGTTGTGAATGTAATCACCGTCAGCAAGTGACACGCGCGAGAGTGGTCCGCGACTCTTTGGTTCTTTCGGTAAAGTCACGTAGGTGGAAAAATAAAATAAAACAAAAAATAAGATATCACGACGTTTCGATCGCAGCACAAGCGGCCGTCCTCAAGCGGAATAAATAATCCAGCAGTGGAACTGCTGAACCCAAATTCATCACGAACAACAATTTGATCCGGGGGAAAGCTTCGATGAGTCCCAAGACTCGTCGCAGGAAGGGTCCTGCCTGCCGCCTTGGAATGCTCGGCGACTAACATGGGCTTGTGGGTGTTTTGCTTGTGGAGGGTCAGCGGGGAGGACGAACAGGCTAATTGCTCAGAGAGCGTCACGCACAACCACTTGGCACGTGGTTTCGTGAGTTTACCGCTTAGCAGGCTTTCGCCAAAAAATATATTATTATCCATAAGGGAGGTTTTGTTTGGGTTAGATCACGTGAATGGAAATGCGTCGTTAAACCCGCCACCACCCGACGCAGCCGATTAGTAAAGGGTTGTCACGTAAATAAAACGTGCAAATTCGTTAATTGTACAGCACACCGGTGTGTTGTAAATGTTGTGAGTTTACTCTCCAACACACCGGTGTGCTGTGCTAGCGACGAATTGGCATGATTTGTTTACGTCAAAAACCCTTACAAATTGGCGATCTAACCCAAAAAAATAAAACCTCTATTATGGACGGTTTCGTGAATCCGTTTCTTGTACTGCCCTGGCCACCTCGCAAACCCAGCGAGGCCGGGGGGAGTCCGACTCAGACCGTGTCCGACTCACACCATGTCTCGGGAGGAGTCCGACTCACACCGTGTCTCGGGGGGAGTCCGTCTCACACCGTGTCCGGCTCACACCGTGTCTCGGGTGGACTCCGACTCACACCGTGTCCGACTTACACCGTGTCCGACTTACACCGCGTCTGTGCCATCCACAGGTGGGTGGCGAGTTCCAGAGTTTAGCAAGCGTGGGGTCAGCAACCAAAACATCAAGAAGAGACATTTTTTTTTCGAATGGATTAAACTCAATATTTCAAGGGCCGCAATGCCACGTGGTGAACACGTGACACGGTGGCCCCTTAATAAATTACGGTGACCAAGCAGCTCCTTAAAGAGCCGCATGCGGCTCAAGAGCCGCAGGTTGTCGACCCTCCTGGCCTAGCGAGCAGCGGCGGATGATCCAAGTCGTAAAAGTAGCTACAAATGTTACGGGCCCCGCACTTTCAAGGACCCCGGGCTAAATGCTTTCAAGCCATCAATTCTGGTTCAGTGATTCTGCTCTATTACTATAGTGCTATACCACCTTCAACTTTTATGAACGACTGGGTGTTTAAGGTTAGCGATTTGTCGTATTATCCGGCCGTATAGTAAATGAAAAAATGCAATTACTTTACTGTGCAAGTTAACAATTTGTGTGTTTTAATATTTACGTGTGTTTTTATTTTATTTAGGGCCCCTTTATAACATTATGCTACAGGCCCCGCACTAGCCTCATCTGGCACTGCTAGCGAGCATTGTGGGTGTCAAAATGAGAAGGCAAAGCGCTGCCTGTGACAGGACAGCAGGAAGGGCAACAACTTGCACGGCAGGATGGAGAGAGGTGCCGTGAGCTCTAAAGACAGACAGGTGGAGCAAAGTTGAGAAGCTTCGAAAAACCACCAAACACGACACGCCCGTCGATGGAATTATGATGGTTATGACGATGACCATTTGCAATCATTCTTGATTTGGCGTTTAGAGCAATAGTCGTTTGAATATTTCAAATGAATAACAAACAAACAAAAACCCCGTGAGTCATTTGCAGCAATAGTCGTTTCAATATTTCAAATTAATAAAAAAATGTATGATAAAAACCTGTGAGTCACCGAAACAATGCCACGTGTCAGGTCATGGGACAATTTAAGTTTATTTTAAATAAGCGGAAACTTTACACAACATACACCCACACACACACACGCGCGTATAACTTACAATCATAATAATACCATCTCGGCAACATGCGCACGCAAGCCAGAAAATTAAATTACAAGTCACACGACGAAATGTACACTTAGACTTCTACGCGAGCGACACTTTCGCAAATGATCGCTTCGCAACATCGGATAATGTTTCGTTATCGTACACCTTTTGCTATTGGCGTTACGTCGTCAGAGGCAACAGCGTCCACCCGGTAGCGCTAATCAGCACACCACCACTCCCTCCCCGGGTATACAGGAGGTCGTGGGCTCGATCCCGACCCTGACGCCTGTATATTTCAAATGTGCGTGTATCTCTCTCTCTCCCCGTGCTCGCGTGGATTTTTCTCCTTTCACATTTAAAAGCATGCCTTTTGAGTGTTTGGTTACTGCTATTAATGTCCACATTGATAAGCCACTTCGTTGGGCTATCATTTATGAAAAAGAGCTATACAGCTCAGTAGGCCTTACCTGGTAAAATAAAAAAGTTAATTTTTATAGGAAATGAACCAACCCCCCCCCCACCCCCCCGGAAGATTTACATCATCTCAAAAGTGTGACCTGAGCTGCCTCCCGATTCTATCTACACGATCCACCGCTGACACCCTCGACCCAAGTGTGTTCACTGCACAACATTCTTTTCTCACGTGGGAATGGTGAAACAACCCCCACCGTTCATCTCGACGGCTACTGTTTTGGTGAAGTCGTAGGCGACGAGCGTGGGGCGAGACCTACGACCCGCTGACGTCTCGGAATGCCCGTTTAACAGCGGGCGGCTCAAACCGAGATTCAACCTCGAGAGGTCAGCAGCAATTGAGCAGCTCTGCGCTCTTGACGTGTTCGATACAAACTCATCACCCCCCCCAACACCCACCCACCTCCGAAGCCACCCAATCACCGCTGCGTCACTGGGATGATGTTGAGTTATACATAATCACGAGCGCAAAACGACGTCTCGGTTGCAGCTCGGTGTAACTCGTGCCATTTGGGGGTTGGCACCACCTGGAGAGCTAAACTCAGACAGCAGTGGCGATGGGTGTGGCTGTGAGGTCGCGTGGCTGACTGCCGGCAATGTCAGTGTTTGGCGGACGGAACTGCGCATTGGCGAGGTGCGGTGGCTTCAACGTCACTGTCCATGATGATGATGATAATAATAATACTGAAAATGTCATTTATTTATCCAGAAAAAAAAACCTCATTCAGGAGGGTTCTTCATTGGTAAGTTTGACCAAGTCCACTCACGATGACCTCTTGACCTCGATCTTCGGGGTGTGCGGGGCCCGGACGCTGCTGCTGCTGCTTCTCGTGCTGCGAGCTCAGTGGATGAAGGCCGGCCCCGAGCACTGGCTGTACCAGGCAGCACGCGGGAGCTCGCAGCTTGAATAGGGCATCTGTGCGGCGGCGCTGGTGGCGGCGGCGGCGGCGGCGGGCTGGTACATGCTGTAGAGGTCGTAGAGCGGGGCCGTCCCTGCCCCATGCGTCGCGAAGCCTCCCAGCAGCAGGCCCTGGCTCACGGATGACTGCCCGCCCAGCGCCGGCGCCGCTGCCACCGCCGCTGCGTTACAGGCCTGCCCGCCGTACGCTTGGTTGGCGCTCGGAAACGCCCGGCCGGCGTAGGCCTGGCTCAGTGCCGGCGCCTGGTACCCGTACGCTTGGCTCCCAAATGACTGGCTCCCGAAACTTTGGCTCCCAAATCCCTGGCTCGCGAAGCTTTGGCTCCCGAAGCTTTGGCTCCCGAAGCTCTGGCTCGGGAAGTTCTGGCTCGCGAAGTTCTGGCTCGCGAAGCTCTGGCTCGCGAAGTTCTGGCTCGCGAAGTTCTGGCTCGCGAAGGTCTGTCCGAAAGCGGCGGCCGCCGCGGCCGCCGCGGCCGCCGCGTTCGCGTTGCTCTGCGTCACCTGACCGCACGCGAGCGGGGCGCCGGGCTGGAACCCCGGGGCTTGGCTGCCAAGGGCTACGGGGGAGGTCTGACTCTGGGTGCTCTGGCTATGCGCGGCGCCGTGGTTGTCGCTGTCGGCGCGACAGCCGCCTTCGCCGGCGGGAGAGACGCTCGTGTGGCTGGAGTACGAGTGACCGCTGGAGGAGCTGTGGCTGCTGAAGGGATGATCGTCGGGCGAGCTGCAGGCGTGGCTCGCGGGGCTTGGCCCGTGGTCTCCCGCCAGGCTCTCCATGGGCGCCGCTGCTCCGGCGGTGGGACACTCGAGCCAGGAGCCCCCGGTCACGGCGCCGGCGAAGACGGTGGACGAGGTAGGGAGGGAAGCCGGACAGGCGGGCAGCGCGGGAGGGAACGGTGGCCCGGGCAACGAGGAGGGAGAGATGAAGTCCCCGCCCAGCTGCTCGGGAAACGCGCTGGAGCACGGCGCGACCTGGTCCTCCAGGGGACTCATGTGGTGGGCGCTGCGGAGGCAAAACGAATCGGCGCGTTAACACGGACGCGCGGGCGCGACGCCGCGCAGACAGCGAAAGGGGGCCGCTCGCTTCGCGCAAGCGAAAACGCAGCCGCACAAAATGTGATTTCTAAAGAGCAGACGGCGCGGTTTTGGCCATCGGATCGGTCCCTCCCCCCCAATCATGCCTTGCGTGTCACGTGACATCACCGTGCCCTGAATAATTTCCAATCGAGTGACCGGGGCTTAATGAAGACACCATGAACCGTGCACGCTGCATCGCTTGGGAGATTCCCGACGCCTCCTGGGCTAACCAAGCTGGTCGTTAAACCAATCGTAGGCACTGCCTTGCGCCTGTGCCCAAGGCAATGCCACTCATCCCACCCTCAACTTGCAGCGGACCCAACCGCTTCCCGGGCAACGCCCCGGTGATGGCTGGAGCGGGCGTGCGTCCCGGCGCGGCTCTCACCTGGACAGCAGCCGGTGGTGCTGCTCGCCGGCCGTGCCGCTGCCGAACGCGTGGATGGGGTTGGTCTGGGAGCCCCCCCGGTACAGCTCCGCCTCCCCGCCGGTGTCGGCGTCACCGCCACCGTAGCCGTCGGAGCGAAGCTGCTTGGCGTCTGAGGGCAGAGAAACGGGGCAAGGGGGGGTTAGCGCGCTGCGAACGCCAACCGGTGGTCACCACCTTGCGCTGGCTTCTTTGAAGTGGCTGTTTGCCCTCTTTGTTGAGCTCGCTGCTGTACAAGGGAAATGTATAAGTCCCTAGGGGGCGATTTTAAAGGTCCCGGTTTTTACCGGGACCTTTAAAATCCTCGGTCGACTGGGCGTTAAACAACAAGAAGAAGAAGAAGCGTCACCTTTTAAGTAACGCGTTTGATAAGTTGTCTCCGTTAACCACACGTGCGCACCCCCCGCCCCCCCCCCCCCCCCCCCCCCCCCCACTGCCGGAACGGCGTGGGCACTGCCCGAGCGTGTCGCGCCAACGACAGCGCGGGAATTCGATGCCTCCAGGATGTCATCCTACCTGATGCCTCCTCTGCGCCCTCGTCCTTGCCCAGGGGCCGCTTGGTCGCATTTCTTGATCTCAGCTTCCGAATTCTGGCAAAGGGAGAGAGAGAGAGATGACGGTCATCGTCTGTACACGGCATCTATGGCGCTGTGTACGCACCGCGTGTATGCCTGGCAACAAGTATTACGGACTGTGGGTTGAACCTCTCACACATGTAAACTGGAGATGATGTATCGGCTCTTATGCACCGTACAGGTGGCGAGTGATATCTCAAACTGGTCCCGCGGTTCCCCACGCATGTAAAATGTGCGTGTATGGCCCCGTTTGGCAATCCGACGGCACAGATCGAGATCGGTCCACATGTTGCCGTGCCGACTTGTCCGGACGGGCCCGCTTGGCAGGGGCTTTCACAGCACCCGTGCGATCCGTCAACCCTCACTGCCCTCCACCGTGCTGGATTTACAGGCGCGTGCCCCACGCGTGCCATCACGATCACGACGATCGCGGTGACGACGATGTGAACACGGCCGAGTAAGATCTCCGAGCGTGTGATAAAAAATTAAATGTTCTTTGAGTGCAAACTCAAGGTCACCTCTCGTGGTTGAGTCCGTCCTCCCTGAAGCCCTTGGCGAAGGGGTTGGTGGCGATTTTTAACTTCGTGATCTGTCAAGAGAACAACAACACGGTCGTGATTAAAGCACAATGGGGGCACCGCAGCTAGAGCGCTGTGTGTGTACGCGCTGTGCGTGCTTGGAGCGGTAAAGTATTTACAGGCTGCGGGTTTAACGTCGTACTCAGATAGTAAATGTTGTGGCTTGGCTCTCCAACGCACCGGTGTGCTGTACTAGCGATGAATTGGCACGTTTTGTTCACGTGACAACCCTTACTAATTGTCTGTGTCAGGTAGTGGCGGGTATAACGACACATTTTAATTTACGCGATCTAACCCAAATAACCTGTATTATGCTTAACCTCTCCTACGTGTAGATGGTACACGTGCGGTTCCCTCGCCGTTCAACTGCTGGACGAGGGCCTCCCATGCTGTGTTGGTCGCGGAAGTTGTTTGACCATACTTCACCATGCCGGGTCAGTGCGACAACGTGAAGGCGGAGGGCGTAGACATGAGAGCAATGCACGGTGCGACAGTGTTGGTTCGGAGCACAGCCACACGGGCACGTAAAATAAAGCTGAACTTTGTGAAAAATCACAGCGAACGCGAGTGTCTGTCTTTGTATCTCTATTTTGTATGTGTCTATGCAGCTGTGCGTGTGGCTGTGTGTGCGGGGAGCGGTGGTGTAGCGGTTAGCGCGCTGTGCTACGGACCCATAATCCCGAGTTCGATTCCCGTTCACGGCCAACACCGGTGACGATTATCAGAACCGGTCCTGGGCCTCCACTAGGTCGACTCAGCCTCAAATGAGTACCTGGTGCTATGCGTAAACGTCGCCACCGGGGAGACAAAGGCGGCCGGACGTGGTGTTGGCCACCCACCCACCCCCTCGTGTGCCATTCAGGCCTTTATAGGTGCTCGCTAAAACAGCACTTGCCCCAACGGTCTGTTACAAACTATATGGGGGGGATCTTTGTCCACGTGTCAGTGCAGCTACACGCGTACGCACTTGTCCCCAAGGTCTGTTAAAGGCCACGCGGGAGGTGGGTGGGTGGTGGGGGACCTTTGTGTGCGTTTCTTTTATTTTTCCCCGTAGCCGCGTTCGTCCGAAGGGTGTCACTACTCACCAAGCTGTTCTGGTAGGCGGTGACGGCGATGAACGTGGTGTCGGGGAAGCTGAAGGTGAGCGGGCTGTGTGCCGCCGCCACGCCGCGCCAGTCCGTGTCGCGGACCACGTAGAAGCAGGGCTGGTACTTGTGCATCGAGTGCAGGATCAGCTGTGAGGTGGAGTGGGGGGTGGGGACACGCGTTAATATTGACGACGGTGCTTTGTGATGGTGACTGCAGCAGCGGCGAGGACAGCGGCAGCGGTGGTGGCGGTGGTGGTGGCATGAAAAATAAGAAATCGGTGTGTTGCCCTTTTCTGGAAATAAAACAGGAGGTGTTCGGATGTTCAAACGCCAAGTGGGGAGCTTTGCAAGGCGTCGAGTACTGGGCTGAGCGCACACAGTGATTCTCTGGTCGAACATCCGTTCGTGCGCAGCGTGAGCGTGCGAGCAGTGGGGAGCGGTGGTGCAGCGGTTAGCGCGCTGCGGCCACGAACCCCGGCAACCCCAGTTCCATTCCCGCTCCCGGCCCACTAAGACCAGTGACGGTCACGGGCCTCCCTTAGGTTGACTCGGCCTCAAATGAGTACCTGGTGCGGCGTGTAAAAAAAACATCGCCACCCCCTCGTGTGCCGTGCCGGCCTTCATAGGCGCTGCTCGCTAACAGCACTCGCCCCTACAGTCTGTCACAAGCTACCCGGGGGCGGGGGGGGGTGGGGGAATTCTCAACGTGTGCCGCGCGTGTACCTAGCGTGGCACAGGCGCGGTGGCGATGTCACCGCCACTCCGTGGGTGTTGTTGTGCTCGCGCGCGCGTGTGCGTTCTGCTCACGTGTCCGCTCTTGCTGAGCGCATTGTTGGTGAGCTTCGCCTTGTGGAAGGACACGGGCTGGCGCATCCACTGAGCGCCGCTGCTCGGCGAGCTAGGGTGCACGTAGAGGCGGCTGGGCATGCTGAGCTCGGCTGGACCGCTCGCCTCCCAGCGCCCCTCCGCCTCACGCCACTTGTACTTCACCTCGTCGGCCGGCACCAGCTCCATCAGCATGAAGTAGTTGGCGTTGGGGTCCAGGCCGGAGAAACGCAGCTTGCACGGGGGGAACGAGCGTCTGTGTGGTGGTGGGGCGGGGGAGGGGGAGAGATTTGCTTAACAGGGGACCCTCAACGTCACAAAGATGTCCCCCCCACCCCCCCCCCCCCCGCTATCACTACCGCCATCACCCCTTCCGTCGAATCTCATTTTAATCATTCCGATCCACTGCCGTCATCGCAATCATTTCAACGCAGCCTCGGAGACTGACGGTGATGATATTGGCGGGGGTAGGTGAGCGTGATGGTCGTGGAGATGGTGGTGGTGTTGGTATAGAGATGAATGGCAGGGAGGTGGTGTTGATGATGGCCATGGGGAGTCCAGTTTACCATGGGAGCTCAGTTTACCATGGAAGTCCAGTTTACCATGGGAGTCCAGTTTACCATGGGAGTCCAGTTTACTATAGAAGTCCAGTTTACCATGGGAGCTCAGTTTTCCATGGGAGTCCAGTTTACTATGGAAGTCCAGTTTACCATGGGAGTCCAGTTTACTATAGAAGTCCAGTTTACCATGGGAGCTCAGTTTTCCATGGGAGTACAGTTTACTATGGAAGTCCAGTTTACCATAGGAGTCCAGTTTACTATGGAAGTCCAGTTTACCATGGGCAGGGCGGCTCATTAAGGACTGCTTCGTGACCGTTATTTATTAAGGACCACACCGTCTCGTATTCACCACAGTGCATTGTGGCCTCTTGAAAATATATATATATATATTTTACCGATTTCTAAAACAACGAATGTCTCGACTTGTTGTTGTTGTTGTTTTTATTTGTCGACCCCTGGGGCTCAGGGCAATCACCCACTTGCTGTACTAACATCACTGCAACGGGCCCACCTCGGCCGTGCGTAGCCGTCCTCCCCGGCCTCACCTGCCGCTCTTGGTGATGATCATCTCCGTGCCGATGGCGTGGAACTTCCTCCACAGCTCCGCGTTGTCCAGCGTGGCGGCCACGCCGCTCTGTGCAGAGCCCGGGAAGGGAGTCGAACCGGCCGTGGCCTGCAGGCAGCTGAGCGGCAGGGAGGGCGGAGCGTGGCGGGGGGCAGCCCAGTCTGGTGGTGGGGGGCCGATGGTAGGAGGGGGGGGGGCAGAGAGAGAGGAGGAGGGGGGCGGGGTGATGGAGAGACGCGACAGAGCGAGAGCAACGTGAATGAGCGCACCTTCCGATTAGCACGGTTGGCAACGTACGGTGTGAGAGAAGTTCAACATACATACATACACACACACAAATCGCCCCAATGCGATGCACGTGGTAGATAATTTCCCGCTCACGGCGAAATATATAAACCGCCTCTGGGCCTCCACTAGGTCGGCTCAGCATTAAATGAGTTACGGTACCTGGTGCGGTAACAAAAAATCAGTACAGGGGAGACAAAGGCGGTCGGGCGTGTTGCTGCCCACCCCCTCGTGTGCCGTGCCGGCCTTCATAGGCGTTGCTGTTAAGGCTGCAATTCGGGGTGTGGGAGCGACCTCTGTCTTTGCGTATTTGAGTGTGAATGTGGTGGTGGTGCAGACAGGCAGGTCGGTAGTGTAGGTATTCGCGCCTCGGGGGGTGTAGGTAGTCAATAGTTGTTGTTGTTGATGGTGGCGGTGGGTAAGAGAGTTCGTGCCGTGATTCACTCCCCCCACGCCCCTGTGAAGCTCCGTTCGCGTGAGCGTGCGAATGAGTCTACACCCGCCCGCCTGGAAGTTAACATACAGCAGCTACTGCCCACCCCGCCCCCCCGCAGACTTGGCCTCGCCGCGGGAACGTGGAATGCTCGCCACAACTCAGAAGTTCGTTGGAGCCGGGGGGGAGATGTCAACGGGGACCTTTTTTGTTTTTTTTTGCCAGTCTCAAAGTGTGGAAAATTAGAGTAGGGTTTTAATCACGTTCGATTCCCGCTCGCGGCAAACACCGGTAACGATTATCAGAACCGGGCTTGGGCCTCCCCTAGGTCGGCTCAGCCTAAAACATCGCCAATGGGGAGACAAAGGCGGCCGGGCGTGGTGTTAGCCACCCACTCCCTCGCGTGCCGTGCCGGCCTTCATAGATGCCCCAACAGTCTGTAAAGGCTACACTATGGGATCTTTGTGTGTGCACGTGTGTGTGTGTGTGCGTGGTCTTTCATGGAAAATAAAAATTTCGTAACAGGTGACGCTTGGAGCAATGCTGGGTCTGCATAGCACAAATATAGCGAAGGCCAGAGAGAGAGAGAAAGCGTGGGGATCATCCGAGCTGGAGACTGAACTTCACACCATGGAGCCTGATTAAAATTTCATTTGTTTCAATGTTTACGGATGGACAGGTTTTTTTGTGTGCGTATGTTTTAAATTGTCATATGAATAGAGTTATCTTAGGTAGTAGCTATTGCCGATACATGCTTCAATGTTCAAAGGAGACATTACGAAATTGACCAATATGTATATTTTAAAGAAACTCAATACGTTCGTCGATAACAGTATGCACTATGCGACGTTTCGGGCAATGGCCCTTCGTCACAGCACATAGCCTACGTGCTTGTGAATGGGGGGGGGCACGTCAGTGCTCTTGACCAACGTGTTGAATCGTGTTGGGTTTTTTTGGTCTGTTTAGTTATTTAGCTGTGAGCGTAGCATCGAATATATTTGTCTCAACATTTCAAATGTCTCGCGAGAAGACCGCCGTGAGTGTGCCCACTGCACCGTAGCTGTCCGTGTGCGTGTGTGCCTACACGCGTGTGGGTTTACGGGCGTGGGGCTATTCGTGTACCGTAGGCCTATGGACGTGCGCACGCTCGTCATCTGGCATACATATAGAAGGTAATAGATGCGTTTAGTCCTACACACATGCGATCCGCGAATGGGGAGATAATCATGATATAATATCGCGTGGACTGAACGAACGGCAACAGGAGTAATGGCAGGATTCGATAAGATCCGGAGACCAAACTGAACATGTTAAGAACATGCGTGTTAAGTACAACTGTGTATGCCTGCGAGACTTGGACATTGAAACAGACTGACAGAGGTGATATATTGGCACTCGAAATGTATTGCCACGGAAGGACACTGCCTCTAAACTGGACCCCAAGAGTGATCCAAACGTGCTCAAATCATACACACGCTCATATCACACACACGCTCATATCACACACACTCATGTCACATATATACCGGAGACGGTCGTGGCTGAGTGAGTGATGCTAATTCGAATGATGCCCTTTAAGGGATGGACATCTATCTGCAATGTGTCACAAATGTAAAGCTGTGTCTATGCTCACAACCTCGCGAAATCACAAAACAAATGTTGGAAGTGTTTTGCCAACCAAACGTTCTGGACAATCTTTTTTTAAATATTATTTTGGATATTTTCAACCTGGGCTCACGAAAGTTTGAATTTGGAAGCTTGAACATCCCTTTTCGGACATTTTTTCAAATGTGTGCGCGCACGCGTGTGTACACACACACACACACGTGTGTGTAAGTGTCTGCATGCGTATGGATAGTCAGTCGCACGTATGCGCTGCTCACCTCTGGAGAAGGCTGCTCCGTCTCCCACGTGCTGATGATGATGATGCTGCGGCTGCTGATGATGCTGCTGCTGATGATGATGATGCTGTTGCCTGCACATCCCCGGGCAGGGACCAGCGGTCATTGGCGCCAGGGGCAGCGGCCGGTGGAACGGCATGAGTTCTCCCGTCTCAAACATTGTCTCACGACTCGCTCTGTCTCACGGCTCGATCTGTCTCACGACTCGCTCTGTCTCACGGCTCTGTCTCACGGCTCTGTCTCACGACTCGCTCTGTCTCACGACTCTGTCTCACGGCTGTGTCTCACGACTCGCTCTGTCTCACGGCTCTGTCTCACGGCTGTGTCTCACGGCTCTGTCTCGCGGCTCTGTCTCACGGCTCCTCGGTCTCACGGCTCCTCGGTCTCACGGATACTCGGTCTCAAGACTCTGCCTCTCCAGGGATGCGCGACTGCTCGCTCTGTGCGAGTCCACGAGCCTGACTGCGCAATTTGTAAAAGGTGGAACTCCTTTGATCCTCACTTGACTCCTCCCACCAACTTCGCTCCTCCTCTCCATCCACTATCTCAACATCCCCCCACCACGACCGCGCCTTGTGGTTGCTAGATCATAGCGGGTCTTCCGATCGTCTCATAGGTCCATCCGCCCTCCACCGCTTCTCACCCCCCCCACCCACCCACCCAACGCTAATGACAACTCTCCCAGCAATAACCACGCCATGTGGTCTCTTCAATGTTCAGAAGCAATGTGTGGAGGTGTGAAAGGCGGGTGGTGGTGGTGGTGGTGGTTGTGTCCCTGGGTTCTGCAAGGCACCGGGCCGCGTTGCGCCTTTGAAGTCGCATGCGACATCGAGAGACAACATCATCATCATCACTGACCGACCGGGCTGCCACCGCCATAGGAATGTGGATTTGTCAACAGCTGATTCAGTACGCGGGCGATTGGGCTGAGCGCCGCTTGCTTGAGCAGAGACACCGAGTTATAGACATTTAAATTTTTTTCTCCAGCTGGGTCAATTCGCCAGTTAACACATCTGATTCTTTGTCATCCACTACTCGAACCCAGTGTATTAATTCCTTAAACATCATCATGGACTGGTCCTTTACTTATCCAGGAAATTCTCGGCGAATTTTAAGACTCTTTTCAAGAGGGTTACTGCGTTAGGATGTTTGGCCAATTTATTTTCAAGCACGTGTGGAGTGGAAATGTTCTTGTTTTGAGATATATATTTACACGACTGGATCAATTTGCTGTTATCCTTAATATAAATTATTCGAAACATTTTACTAAATCGTAATAATTATAACAATTATGTAACCGTGATTATTCGTTCAAAATTATAAAAAAAAACGTTGACTGAACATGAATTAGTCTGCACGTAATGGAAGTTAGTCTATCCGTACAAAATAATACCTTCATTTTGCCTAAACTCTAAATCCAGGTCCATAGAGTAAACTGTATTACACGCGACACATGCGAAACCGTGTGGATTCATCTCGCACATCCCCTCTTGCTCTTGAGGAGTGGTGGCACAGCGGATCACACGCCGCGCTACGAACCCGGTTTCTCGACTTCGAATCCCTGCTCACGGCCAACACCAGTGACGATTATCTGGACCGGTCCTGGGCCTCCCCTAGGTCGACTCAGCCTCGAATGAGTACTTGGTGCGGTGTGTAGTAAACATCGCCAGTGGAGAGACAAAGAAGGCCGGGCGTGGTTGCTGGCCACCCACCCCCTCGTGTGGCGTGCCGGCCTTCGCTAACAGCACTTGCCCCAACAGTCTGTTAAGGCTATACGGGGGGGGGGTCTTTGTCTTAGGAGTCACACCGCAGTGTTCACCTGGAGCGGCTCTTCCTGTGCATCCTCGCAGCAGCAACAGCGGCTTTCTGGCTGGCCATCAAACCAAGACGAATGTCATCGCATCGAGCGCCGTCAGATGCGCTTCTGCGGCCGTCTGGAACGCGTTCTTCCTTCCGATATTAGGACGCCGCTGTAGCTATGGCACTTTCAAATCGTCGAGATTGAAAACCTCCTTTCTTTGGAACTACTTCTTGTGTTTAGTTTGTTTTCCTTCTACCGCACCTCCCATTTGCACGGTAGGCTACGTGCGGTGCGAAATAAGTTCCACGTACTTACATATGCATAATATAAATATAAATGAGTATTGTCCTTAAGGAGACACTTATAAGGGATGTCAGGATGCGACTCGCCGCCGGACAAATATTGACACGCGCCTTCATAATTGGTGGATAAAGAAAACTATGTATTCAATTAAAAAAATTGCGGGACAGCGATTCATTCACTCGGTTAATGATCAATCTTTGCGTGCGACAAGCGGCGAACGAACGCGCGCCACTGCTGAGCCGGGTCGCTGCCCCAAAACGTTTAAGACGGGGATGTAGACTCTGAAGTACCCGAAAACGTCGCCTATTACATATACTGTGTATTGTTTTCATTTTAAGGCCACGCAGTGTCGTTATTGACGAATGTGTTGAGTGTTGTTGTTAATTGCGTTTGGACACCATTGCCAAAGCAGCAGCAGCAACAGCAGCAAAGCACCATCGCTACCACCAAATAATGTGTTCAATATTGCGGCGTAGGATAAATGAACACACACACATATATGTACATACAACCCAATAAAAGTTGTCGGAGTTGAACAGCGAACTCTTCTCGAGCGTTACTCGCCCCATTGGGCTTCCTTTCGAGTACCCTGCCGCGTGCAACAGCACAATGAACGAGGGATCGCCCGAACGTGCCAATGCGATGCCCCTGCCGAAAATTGATTCGTGTCTACGTTGAACTTCTTTAGCGCCGTACGTAGTCAACCCGTGCTGATCGGAGGTGCGGGGAAGGACAACAAACTTAACAGTACACATATATATACGGTATACGTACAGAATATGTATACAGTATACGTGTGTAGTGTAGATCCTTCCAAACAATTATGACCTGCGCACAAGCGGCATGAAAATGCATATGCGCACCTGTAGCAATTTGTCTTTGGAATGAAGGCAACGGGCAACGCAGGGGCGTGAGGTATCGTGCGCGGCGCGGCTCGCGATGCATCGCTCACGTCCCTGGCGAGTGACATTTATGAACCGCTCCTCATGGGGGGCTCCTGGAAGGGGGGGGGGGCTTTTAGAGGGGGGGGGCTGAGTTGACCTAGGGGAGGCCCAGGACCGGTTCAGATAATCGTTACTGGTGTTTGGCCGTAAGCGGGAATCTAACCCCGGGTCGCCGGGTTCGTAGCGCAGCGCAGCGCTGATCGCTGCACCACCGCTTCCCCATACACTGCACAGGGCACGTGGAGCTGTGGTAGGTCACCTGTCGACGTCAATGTTCGTAAAGTGCTGAACAAAAACAGCGAAATGCCGCGTGGAGCAACATCGCCGATGACCGCACAACACAAAACGCGCGTCCTGCTGAAGCAACGGGAGCCCGAACTCAGCTACCAACCTCGCATGCCATCGTGCAATGGCTTTAGAACATTCACATCCTATTGTAAGCACGCAGAACATGGTGGGGATTCGAGCGGAGGTGCGTGCCGGAGGCGGCACGGAGCCGCTCGTGAGAGGCTGGAACAGAAAAGAGAGAGAGGGGGGTGGGTGGCTGGGTGGGTGGGTTGCGGGGTGTTGGCCGACGTGTTCCATGCGGGACTCCGCGGGGAGCCTCGTCGCAAGCACGCGGCACACGCAGGCGACAACCGCCGGCTGCACCGGGGCAGCTGGGGGGTGGTGGGGTGGTAAGGGAGGAGGAAGGGGGGGGGGGGTGCCCTGGAAGTGGCCCCCTTGAAAGCGACTTGAGCCGTGGAATTCCATGAAGGCGAGGGGTTGGAAAACCCCGCGGCTCAAGTAATTGTATTTTTTTTCAATTGCTATACAGCCAGATAATACGACAAATCGCTAACCTTAAACACCCAGTCGTTCATAAAAGTTGAAGGCGCTATAGTACTATAGTAATAGAGCAAGTGCAGAATCACTGAACCGGAATTGATAGCTTGAAAGCGTTTAGCCCGGGGCCCTTGAAAGTGCGGGTTGCCGTAGCTACTACTACATATGTAGTAGTAGCTACTTTTGCGACTAGGATCATCCGGCACTGTTCCCAAGCACGGCTCACGTCAGTGGCGAGCGAGATGGGAGGTCATTCATCCAGAAATGGATTGACCGAGGGCTTGAACAGGGATGGCGAAACTGTGGGGGTGAGCGTGGCAGCGTGTATGCGACGCATATGGGGTCGAGTCCGCCACGAGGTGGGGGGGGGCCCAAATCAACAGATAAACACGAGATTTTCCAAAAAAACAACGTTAAGAAAATAAAATAACAAAATATTGTTTTCAAATATATCAGCAACCCCGCGGTTTCAGCAGCCGCATGGTGGCGGGCTCTTTCAGGAACTGCTGCTGCTCCTAGAGACGTTATTTGTTAAGGAACCGCCCACCGTCTCGTGTTCACCACTTGCTCTTGAAATACCGATTTGTTATTGTTTTACTTAAAGCTTTCGTGACTGCAGGAATTCGCGTAGATAGGTTCAATTTTCTTTTAACCATCTCCGTGACTTTACCGAAAGAGCCAAGATTAATGATTTGAAGCCTTCGTGACTGCAGGAATCAATACTCTTTGGTTCTTTCGGTAAAGTCACGTAGGTAAAAAAAATAATAGATGACGATATTTCGTCTTGTGTGTCGATTGCTTGTGTGGCGATCGAACCGTCGTGATCTATAATGTTTTCGACCTACGTGACTTTTACCGAAAGAACCAAATAGTACCCAAGATTATCGTGAATTTTTAATGACCGGATTCGAACCCAAAGAGAACATGTGTCTCTTCTCGTGATGTTGCCCACGCAAACATTTTTGTCGCGACGTTGCGAGCTCGACCCCCGCCCCGCGCGCCTCCTCTGACCGCGATTTGAACTCCGTAACCTTGAGTCGCGGGTCCCACGGATTCGGCACCCACCCACCCACCCCCCTGCTCCTGCTCCTCTTCTCTCCAGGACTTTTGACGACGGTAGATTTCGCGTCTTCCCGAGTGGCTCTCCCCTGGGCGTCTCGGTCCGCGCTGGTCCCGTCGCGCGCCGCGCGCACGCGCGCGCCCCCCCTCTAATCCTCTAATGGGATTAGCGCGAAGTTGTCAACTCGAGCACCACCCGCCTGGGAGTTGAACTCATAACCCTGCGACTTCGTTGACGCGCGGCACCTCTGATCACTGCGTCTGGCCCCCCCACCCCCCACAAGATAGCAAAGCGATCACAACGATTTACAGCCAGGGGCAACGACGAACTATTTTCAACGTTGGCTGAACTAGCTACGGGATGGTTTTTTTGTTTGTTTAACCGCGTGTTTACAATACTATGCGAGGCTAGAACTCTACGCATTATTTTAGTTGCACCCGTGCACTGGGTGTTAGGATTCTGCTCCGTTGACACGACGATCGCCAGACGCGTTAATCGCTCGGCTTGGTGCATGATAGACCGCGGGTAATTTTTTTTTAATGAACACATTTTTTTCGTTGAATTTTTTTTCTGAA